AAAGCAGGCAAATGATGCAGGAATAATACTGACATGTTGAGCAGTGAGAGAAAGCCAAGGATTGGCCATGTTAGTATTTGTAGCTTTTGCTAAAAGGCAAAAACTGTTGATGTAGGGAATACTAAAGCATTTGGGTGGAACGTTTTGTTCTTTGAAAAAAATATGACACCTGCTGTAGGAATATCCCCATCCAGAAGGAACTTCTGCATAATGTTGGAAGAGAAAAATTAGTTCTCGAAAAGCCACCATGAACACAACTCAAATTTACAGTGCATGGACACTGATCTGATTCAGTAGCTGTTGCTTGTTCTTTTCAGCCATCAGTTTATTCTTATGCCAGCCTGCTTTTACATGCTTGATTGAAAAGTCATATGTGCGTGTATATCAAGTCTGGAGTTTCTTTCATCAGTATGGTTAGACACACGTTGCAGATGTCAATGTACCCCAAATAAATGGAATACTTCTTTCTAGGGAGAAAATTATTTTGGCTTCCAAATCTTTAGAGTTTAAAAGAACTCTTAAACTGTCAATCTCATGGATTACCAGAATTATTATCTGTATTCTCTAACCAAATGAAGAACAACTCGTTTTATGATAATACATGTGAATTTTAGCATTCTGAAATAGAAAGCCAGGTTTTAACTTGTGTGATAAAGGTTCCTTGTCTCAAACCTTAAGTGATCTTCTTTTGAAGTTTTAGGAATTTTGTGTTGATTCCCACACTTCCCAAACTGGAAGAGACTAGTGACGGGATAAGGAGTAATGGATTTAAACTTAAAACATTAACAGGGGAAAGTTCAGGTTAGGTATAAGGAAGAAGTTCTTTACAGCACTGGTGGTGAGGCAGTGGAACAGGTTGCCCAAAGTAGTTGTGAATGCTCCATCCCTGGGAGTGTTCCAAGACCAGGTTGGACAGAGCCCTGGGTGGCATGGTCTAGTGTAAAGTGTCACTGCCCGTGCCATGGGGTTGGAACTAGATCTTGAGGTTCTTTCCAACCGTAAGCATTCTATGATTATTTTGGGTTACTGCTGACTCTGCAAGCCTTTGTTTTGATGTATGTCAGAAGCCCAAATCTGCAGTAGAAAGGACATGAGGCTTCCAGTTACAAAAGTAGGAAAAAGCCTTCCGAACTGTAGTAAGCCAAGTGAGGCCCTAAAATGGGTTGCCTGTGATGGTTAAAGAATTTCCAGATTTGGATGCCTCCGAGAGCAAGCTTGCAAAACGTCAACTATGTAACTGTAGTTGATTTTTGAGTTAGTACTTGGGGAAGGACTAGATGCAACTAGATGGACTTTGGCAATTTATTCCTCTTAAAGTTTTGGGGTTTTGTGGTGGGGTTTTTTGGTTTTTTTTGGGGGGGGAGTATTTTTTGTTTTGGTTGGTTGGGTTTTTGTTTGTTTGGTTTTGCTTTTTTTTTTTTGTTTGTTTGTTTTTTGTGGGTTTTTTTTTGGTGGGATTTTGTTTGTTTGGTTTTGGCGGGGGGGAAGAGGGGTTTGGTTTGGTCTGGTCCATCGTCATTTCCTGCCCCGCCCCCGCATCCTTGATTTTAGTTACTGAAAACTGGTAAAATATGAGAGACTTCCCTTGTTCCTGAAGCTTTTAGCATTGTGTTTTCATATTGTTGCTGCTGTTAGGGATACACTCACTTCTGTTGAAATGTAGCCATTGAGGGAGATCATTAGTGTGGTGAATACACTAATAGGGTTACCACTGTCTTCAAATTGAAATAAAGAAAGTTTTATAAGAGAACAAAGTTTGGATGTTTCATATATAAAGTTCTCACGGAGTTCCAGAAGCACTTGCAGGAAAGGTGTCATGAAAACTCCTGGGGCAGTATCAGCAGTGCTTTCCTGGTCTGCACCCAGCTGGCTTTCAGACCTGTATATGGAGCAAATATATTAGTGATTAAGATTGTCACTCAAGGGCAAGACCTGAAATTAAGGAAAGAGATCTGATTTGGATAACTTAGTAATGAAACTGCAGGAACTGCCACACAGGTCCATCTGAGACACAAGGAAGACCTGTTCTGAAGGTGAGCAAAGAACCTGTCGTGAAAAATAAGGAAAAGGGGAAACACCCTCTCCTCCTTCCCCCCCTCTCCTCCTCCCCGCCCCCCCCCCCCGAAAAAAACCCCAAACTTGCACCCCCAAAACCATGACCAAAACCAAACAAAAACCAGAGCTCTTTTGTTCAAACTACTTCTGACTCCTTAAGGTGTGTTTTTGGATTTTCTGCAAGCACTGTCTTCCAGAATGCTTTAAACTGCACTGTGCAATGACATGATAAGATTTGAACTTTATTAGATTAAAATGCAGAATTACTCACTGGTTTTAAGGCCTCTTTTTTTTTTTTTTCTTCTTCCATAATCTAAATAAGACTATACCATTGTCTGTATGCAATTGTCATTACAAATTTTAGGAAGCATTCTTTTGCATAATATGAAGATCTTTTTCTTTCTGCTTTTTATATTGTAATTCTTCACAGAATTCTTTAGCATTACTAAGTTTATCTTTTGTTCTGTGGTTGTGGTAACAGATTTCACAGTTTTCTGCTAATGAAAATTTTTCTGGTTTTAATTGTGAAGGCTGTAATTATTTTGCAATGCCCAAAAAAAAAAGATGGAGGATCTTATGAAAAACAGTTGCTTTTAATCATCAGGATCACTTTTTCCTTACTGGATCTCTTTATGTTAATTAGTAGGTACGTTACAGTTAAAGTAATGTATACTGGTATACTATTTCTGTAAGATGGAAATTTAAAATGACAGTTTTGGTTTGCCTGCTTTCTTGCTTGCTTCTCCTTTTACCTAGTTTGGAGCCTGCATTGATTCTCTCCCCACACACCCCAAGAGTGCAGAGCCATTTCAGAGCTCTCATTGAAGCAACCGGGGTCCTGTCCATCAGTTCCCTGCAGTGAGACTGTGGGCCAGTTGCTAGGCGAGTGTCTCATTTTCCAGATCTTTGAAGTGAAATTGATGATAACCACATTTCTAAAGCACAGTCATGAATATTTTCAAGTGCTCTTAAGTTATTTAGTATAAAGTGCTGAAGCAGAATGAAATTATGTTCCACTGGGTTTGGGGTTTGGGTTTTTTTTGTTTGTTTGTTTTGATTTGGTTTGTTGGGTCGTTTTTTTTGAGGGGGAGGTGTTTGTGTTTTGAGGTCCACTTAAATAAGAAAATTTAGTAATGAAATATGGAACTTGCTCAGTTATCAGTGACAGAAATGGGGATGAAGGTTAAGTACAGAGACTTTGTCATTCTTTGCATTTTTTTAATATAAATTATCTACCTCTCCTCAGTTCCTTTATATATGAGGTGTGAGATGTACTGCCTCACAGCCTTCTCTTCATTACCACTTTCCTCATCATTATTTGATACTCTGATAAAGGCAATATTAGAAGAGCTCTGGGTTTTGGCACAGTGGGCCCTCACACATGAATGAGCACCATAAGGGCTATCAAAATAAAAACAGCAGTAAAGAGAGATGGGCATTTTACATCTGTATTAGATAACATGTCGACACTATAAACTGCACCATTCCTGCGGCCAGAAATGGCAGGGGTTCAGAGGTTGGATGGTTGCTGGCTGTGCAATGACAGCTGCGTTCTGCACCCTTTCAGCTTTCTCCAAGTAGCCAGGTTTGCAGTTTGGTAAACCTTCTCCCAGTTTGTTTTCTCATTTCCTGATAAGAAACAAAAAAGAATAGTTAAACAAGAGAAAGATTCAGATGATTTATTTCCAGTTAATATAGATCCTAAGTATGCTGGGGAGAGGATTTCTGTAATCAAGGGAGGAAGTGATACATGAATCAATATTGCTACAGATTCTCAGTATAGAGTTGAAAGAAAACTGAGCAGGCAAAACAGTTTGAGGCTGGCTTTCTCCTTGTTTAACTAAGTTTAGAAGGCAGAAAAGCCAAGTGACAGTATTCCTTTCTCGCTTGCAGTAAGAATGGAGCTTTTCTGCACCCTTTAGGGAAATTGTGAGGAAGGTTTGATAGAGAAGGACAAGCAGAATGTTGAGATTGACACTGATGAAGATGCTGTCATGTCATATGAAATGAGGTAGAGCAGAGGGGTGTTGGAGCCAGAATGGTCTTGTATGAAAATAAGGGCTAGAAGTTTTTACTGAAACTGAGGATTTTGCATACAGAATGATGTTCCTGTTCTAGTGGGAGAGCACAGTGAAAGTTAAACAGCTGTTCAGAAGATCTTTTGGGTATCTCACATGCACAAGTAAATGCACGTAGACACACAAAATGAAAGTGGGTTTTTAATCAGCTGGGAATATGTACTAAACTTTCATGCATATAATACACACTTCAGACATAATGTGTCTTTATAGAGCTACTCATCCTTGCAAATGATTACCTGGATGACCTGTGAGTTAGTTATGAAAATTCAGGTTTAGGGCAGCAAGTGAACAACTGGCCATATATAAGAACTGTTACTTGCGTCATGCCTTTTCCCTTCTGCATACTGACTCAAAAATCGTCTGATTCTTACCCACTTGGACTTACTAGAAGGTAAATTCCTTAAACGGTGAAAGCAGCAGGTTGTGGCTGTTCAACGGCTAAGACATTTGAAAAGAGTTGTTTGGAAGAGGAAAGAAGGCGGTTTATGTAAGAAGAAAGCTACTGAGGTGGGAATGAAAAAGTGAACTGGAGAAAAAGAAATAGGAATAAAAAATGAGGAAGTGGTGTTGTCCATTGTGTTTGCTTCAGGAATCAAATTTGGAGGAAGATCCAAGGGGGATTATGAACACTGAGGGAAATTTACCCCTGAGCTCCCCACCGTCCCTTGGATATGTGAAAGGAAGGGATACACAAAGATGCATGTAATTTCAAAGGAGGAACTAATTCTCTGGTAGTCCTTGTACAATACAAATATCTGTGTTGCTTGATCAAAGGGAGCTAAAGGTTTGCTGTTTTGTTTTCAGATAACTTGAGTCATGTTTTGAAAATACAGTAACTTACCTATCTTTTTGTTTTACTACTAGAGTATCTTCAACCAGTTTCAATGTAGCAGTGAGAAGGTACTGCCTTCTGATGCCCTGCGCACTGCTCTTGCAAAGACATTTCAGGATGAGCAACGCTTCCAGCTGGGCATCATGGATGATGCTGCTGAATGTTTTGTGAGTATAACTGAAAGATGGTTTGACAGGCATAGATGTGAACCCCCCACTGCACAATTTTTTTAATTCCCCCCCCTCCCCCGCTTCCTCTCCTCCCCACATTCCAACAGACCTTGCATTTGTGGCCTGGAAAAGTCCCCAGGGAGATCCTGAAGCTTGAAGTGATCCAGTGGGGAACCACTGTTTGGCTTGAGAGTCATTGCTAACAATTTCAAAATGGAAACATCAGTGTTATCCAGTTTTACAGTTACTTTTGCATATCTACTGTCTGCATGCGTGTGTGTGTCTTGAATAGGAATTTTAAAAACAAATGCACTGCAAGAATATTCCAAAATTCTGGTTTTACGGATCACCTCAAAAGGGTGAAAGGACATTTTGCCAGTTAATCTGAAACCATGTTTTCATAAACTGTAAGGTAAAGTAAAAATAAATAAATAAAGCAGACACAACCCAACACAGTTATTCGTGTTTGTAAGTTGAGGTAAGCAACAGTAAAATGGATCATGTCCAAGTATTTCTGTTGCCATATTTGCAAACCATCTGACAATTTGTTTTAGGCTGGTTGTCTCACCAGTGTGGTTGGTAGATGGCTTTTAACACTAGTGTTACATCCCTAGGTTTGCCCACCTGCTTTCTTTTTATACTCAAACTCTTTCCTGGTATCCATTATGTTAAGATTTTATTCTTACCCACATTTCCTCCTTTTCCATGTTCAATCTCCTAAATTTATTAAACTTAATTAGGGTGTATTTTTGTCTTGCTGACCTATTGGCTGCTCCACTTTTTGGAAGGGGTGGCCCAAGTGTGTTTATCTTACTTGTTTATTAACAAAGATGTTATTTGTTAACCAAAGTACAAATATACTGGATTTACTACTGAAAAGTAGAACTTCTCTCAGGTAAAGCACCTACCAGAGTGGAATAATTTCTGTATGTTAAATCTTTCATTTCTGATATCCAGCTAATTTGAAGCTTGCACTGTAAGAGATCGCAGAAATTAGATAAATGCATATAGCTATTGTAGTTCTTCTCTTAAATTAAGTGGAGTGATAATGGACTTTGATAACCCAACATATCCTGTGTTTGTAGAATACCGATATAGCAAAATAGTATACTAGCTTACTTAAAATCAAAGTACATCATGCCAATAAAGCCTCAAAGTGAAATAAATTGCATCAGCCCACACAGGAGCCCCTGAGCACAGTTATGCCAAATCATTATATGCAGTCCAGCACTTGAGTGGAGTTCTGTATGTTGTAGAACATGGGAACTTCTGATTTAGTTTCTTCCTTGAGAAAGCTAATCTAAATAGCCCATCTCATACTGCTGTGGAAGTCCCCGCAAACAGGTTTGTTAGGCCAACTGTATTGGCACAAGGACAATTAAAATGGGTACAAGTTCCTTTTTGAGGTTAAGCTTTAAGGTAGAGATAATTCCATAGCTTTTCACTTATTTAACCTTTTCAGCCCTAAAGGCAGAGATTTAATTTAAATGGAAGAAGATCTTAGACTCTAAGGTTCAAAGAAAATTCTATAAGGTCAGAACTATTTTGCCTAATAATTAATCTTGATCTTTTTATTGCAGGCCTATTAACCATCCAGGCAGCTCATAGTGATAGTGAAAGGTGTGCTGCTGGAAGAGGCATCAGTAGACTTTTGTCACCCCCAGCTTAATGTTGGGAACAGTGGGAGGAGAGGAAGTCTTGGGACAAGAACTCCTGGGAACTTGAAAACATATAGAGTTGTCTGAAATAGTATCTAGAAAATGTTCAGTGCTTTTGTTTCATGCAGATTTTAATCTGCCTCTTCATTTATTAATCTCCCCCTTTTTGACAATGTAGATGATTTGCCATATTTCAAAGCCCTTGTAGAATGTAGAAATTGATTAAGGTTACTTTGTGGTGATGAGGAGAAGTTAGTGGCAATGCAGGGATTTTAAAATTGCAGACCTGCTCTTCCTGTTGTATTTGTCAAATCCATTGATGCTTAAGAATTGGACAGAATAAGCAGTAACAGAATCTTCAGCTGTGCTAGGAAATAAATGGTTACCTGACACAGCATTGCAAATCAGAAGTGGTAGCCATTTTCTTTTATATCAAAGATATGCCAACTTGTGTTTTGTAAGCGACATTCAAAAATTCGTAGGAACCTTCTGTCTCTGTAAATAACGCTTACAACATTAGTACATCTGACATGCTTTTGTGATTTATATTTTAACTTTTGTTTACGTTTGAAATGATCTAATACTTTTTTTGCCTCTCTCTTTGGCTAGGAAAACCTGTTAATGCGAATTCACTTCCACATTGCAGATGAGACAAAGGAAGATATTTGCACTGCACCACATTGCGTTTCCCATCAGAAGTTTGCAATGACCTTGTTTGAACAGGTGAGGTAATGATAACATGCTTTATACCAATCACAAGTTCTCAAGTTTGAAATTTTCATTTGTAAGACTTGCATTGCCATGGTAAAAAAAAAAAAATACAAGCAGAAGTGCTGCTGTGGAAATACCTGTTTAATCTTGTCAGTGTATCATGTTTTCTTTATCTTTAGTGTGTTTGTACCAGCTGTGGTGCCACCTCTGACCCACTACCTTTCATCCAGATGGTACATTATATTTCCACAACCTCACTCTGGTGAGTTGAAATTTTTACAAGGAAGAGATATGTATGTGTGTGTCTTTTTTTTTTTTTTTTTTTTTTTTTTTTTTTTTTTGTGTGTGTGTGTTCTTGTTTTTCGTTAGTTTTTTAAACTGGTATTGCAGTTTGATCTTTTCCTTCACAAGATTAAATGTCCACAACATGGTTTGATTAAAGTTAGTGGAGCTTTGATAACTATGATAAAGAACATGAGGATTTAGTGGAGGAGAAGATACCAATTTAGGCATGGATCAATGTGTCTTTCTGTTTATGATTCTGAATCTGACAACTGTAGGGGCAAGGACTAGTGTACATTTTGAAAGACCTTAATATGTGAGCAGGTGAGTTAAGAAAGATTTAAAAAAAAAAAAGTTACTCTGAAAAGGACCTTTGTACATCTACTCCATCCTCGTTTTCAAAGCAGGGCTAGCTTCAAGGCTAGATGAGGCTGTTTGGGGTTTTGGGCAGCTGAGTTTTGAAAACATTTAAGGACAGAAATTCCATGACTTCTGTGGGCTGCTTCTTCCAGTGCTTAATGACACAGTGTGAATTTTTCTTTCCTTATATCCAGTCAGAATTTCCCTTTCTGCATCTTTTACCTCTTGTCCTTTCTGTGTTCGCCTCTGGAAAGAGTCTGGCTTATGTTCAGCTTGTCCTCCAGCTGTCTGCAGTGTTGCTCCTCATCCATTCAATGCCCAGCCAGTACTGCTGCGCTGGGTGTGCTCCATCTGAGGTGCAAGACTTTTTATTTTCCTTTAATGAATTTCATGAGATTCCTATCAACTCATTCCTCTAACCTGTCAAGAACCTTCTGGGTGGCAGTACTCCTTTTCTGTATATTGACTGCTCCATCCGGTTTGGTGTCATCTGTAAACATGATGTGAGTGTATTCTGATTCATCATTCAGGTTGTTAATGAAAATGTTAAATAGCATCAGCCCCAATATTAACCCTTGAGGAACACAACTCTTAGCTGACTGCTGGTTATGTTTTGGTCCTCTGAGCCTGAAGGCCTAGCTAGGCTTTTGTCCATGCTGTATTCTATCCAGGCAGTCCACACCTCCCAGTTTGGCCACAAGAATGCTGTAGGTGAATGGAAAATTTGCTAGAGACCAAATTATATTAACTGCTTTCACTTCCTCAACAGAACCTGTCATTTTATGACTGGAGATAATCATGTAGGTCAAGCATATTTTGCCCTTGGTAAATCATTGCTGCCTGCTCTGATGCACTTTCTTGTCCTTCATATGCTGGAGGTGATTTCCAAGGGGATTTTGTCTGTTGTCACTCCAGGTACTGGAGCAAGACTCATCAGCCTGTAATTCCTCAAACCCTCTTTCTTGGATGGATATGTAACTCCTGCTTTTTCTAGTTACTGGGTACTCCCCTCGTCACCATAACTTTTCATTAAAGGAGATGGTCTAGGATGAGGCGTCCCTGCCCATGGCAAGGGGGTTGGAACTAGATGATCTTAAGGTCCTTTCCAACCCTAACTATTCTGTGATTCTGTGGTGCACAGAGCAATAGCTCTAGCTCTAGTCTTCTTTTAGTAGATTGCTGCTCAATCATAAGCTGCTTAAATCTGATTGAGGTAGGAATCTGATTTGCTTTTGTCTTGAAAGTTTGATTGGGCGAAAACTTCTCTTGTGTGAGATATGTACTTACAGAGCCCCAAAAAATTGTCTTGAAAACTGGTAGTTGCTCTTCTCTTGCTGATCTGTTAAAAGCTACCACTTTACCAGTGTATCAGGAGTATTGTAAAGCATATTCCCCCTTGTGGCTGCTACCTACCGTTCCATCAAGCAGTAGTTTTCCTTTAGGTCATCAACAGACACTGGGTACTCAGAATATTATTTATTACAAAAACAGGAAAAAAATTATGTAAATGGTATTCAGTATTTTATATTAAATATGTCAAACCTTAAGTCACATGGTGTTTTAAAATCATCAATAAACAGTAATATATCTGTTTACTTAAAGCATTTTAAGGTTGAACATGCTTTGAGCACTAATATTCTTGTGTACTTACTGTCATCTTTCAATGTGGACAGTTGAAATCAGTTGAGTACCATGCTATTTTTTTGTCTATAGCTTTATTATTAAGGATGTGCTTTACTGTGCTACTTTACTAGGGTTGTGGTTACTAAAGGGAAGCATTTTGAGGCAAATATTTCATTTTGAAACCAAGTATTTATGAATATAAATAAAAAAAGCCTAAAGTTGGCTTTTAAGATGTAAATTTTAAGACAAACTACAAACTATTTCTAGTTTGTTTTACTCGTTTTCTTTATGCAGTATTGTCATGGAAGGTGTAGTAATTCACACTGAATAATTATGTGATTTTTCTGTACTACAATATTAAATATAGAAAATGCTGTGTATTTTAAGGTTATTTTCATAATATTTAAGTGAAACATACACTTACATAATGTGGATTTATGCTTTTATTTAGTTATTAAACTTTTTTTTTTCCCCCCTGTGCTTTCTCTGTCCTGAAGCAATCAAGCTATCTGTATGCTGGAGAGACGAGAGAAACCCACTCCAGATATGTTTGGAGAGCTACTACAGAATGCCAGCACGATGGGAGACCTACGAAATTGTCCAGTTAGTGTCCTATCCTTAGTTTTCCTTGGGAGAGGGGAAAAAGAAGGGTACAGACAGGACAGAAAAGGTTTAGTATATTGCACTGATGTGTACCTTTTAATGTAAGCATTTTTGAAGTTCAGTTCATCACGTTAAAGAGTTTTCTTGGTGTTTGAATTCAGTACCTCTCAGTTAAATTACTGATGTTGAGTGCTTCTTTGACTAGATAAAGTAGTGAGAACAGGGATAGAAATAGTGTTTGTGTGGAAACCAAAAATGAATGCTTCAGAGAGTTAGAAACCATGAAAAAAGGTGATGAGGGGGAATAAATTGGGAATGCTTATGTTGCTTTCAAGGAATGGCCCCACAGTCCCATTCCTGTTCAAGTCTGTGTTTCTGCTAGAAATGCTTATCATATGTTTGCTGTTCAACTTCACCAAGAGTTGGTGAGGCCTCCAACAGTAGCCCTATGTGAAGGTGCAGTCATGCTGCTTTAATCCTATGATGAAAGGTCTGGTATCTTACCTAAAGAAACGGAAATGACAAAGAATTTGGAGGCTGTCTTTATAGGAAATGTCTATAAGTTGATGATGGTTTTGATGAGCTAAGCTTTTTAGAACAGTGTTTTCACAGTTCACTCAGTTTCTTTAGTGATTATTTTTGTTGAGGCTAGTGCGCTTCATCTGTAGTAATAGCATGAGAAAGGATTAATTCTTGTACAATCTTTTCAGTAGTACCTGCTGTGGCAGAGATAGAAATTTTACATCAGTGTAGTCATGTGTACAAAATCAGTTGTTTTGCCTAGATAAGCTTCCGTCCAACTTCATTACTACCTCTCAGTTAGAATAAATGGAACTGTTGACCAATCCGCTGTACCTGTACCTTACAGCCAGCATATTGATCAGAAGGAAAGAGAAAAGGATTGCTGCTTCCCACTGCCAGAGAATATCCTGACAATGAAAGGCTTATACACTACACAGTATATCTATCTGCATGAGTTGTGCTGAAGGCAGGAATTATCACAGAAAATCTGAGGGGGTATTGGCTTGTTTTTCATTGAGGTTTGCTGTTCAGAGTGTGGAAGATACTGACCAGAAAGTGTAGGCTAAGCTGTGAGTGATGACTAGCATTTAACCACTTAAAAACAATTACTGCATATATCCAGTTGATAGTCACAGGCTGTTGTTATTAAAAATGTTCCATTCTGCCGTGCAGTAAAAGTCTGACAAAATTCAGCTGAATTAAGTCTATAAAAGCTTCATGTAAATTTTTTTTTTAATTTTTTTTTTTTTTTTAAAATCTTAAGGGCTCAGATTTCAAAAGGAGGAGTTTGATATCTTGTTCTACCTTTTAATTTGAGTATGTCCAGATCCAGGGCTGTAGATAAGCATGCAGGAAGAGATATCATCAAACTTTTTCACATATTAATAGGTAAGGCAGAAAACAGATACATATAATGCTACTGTTAGATGCCTCACCAGTCCTCAGTGAAGCAATACAGACTCTAACAGAAATGTGTTGTGTGCATGTTCCCCAGGGGCAATGTATTTCCATTTTATCCTGCCACATTCTATAACGCGTAACTCTGAAACTTTCCCTTTTAGTCTCCATCGAAACATTATTTTGGTGTTTGGAATATTGGCAAATAGTGGCTCATCTGAGTACAAGAAATTTAAGATATTGTATTGTTTAAAAAGATTCGTGTGAGTCCAGCTATTTAGTAACTAAGGCATGGGAAATTTAATAGAAAGACATTCTTTGTCAGGTTAAACTTCTGTTTAACTGTGAAATAATCAGTGGGAAAAAATTGCTTACCACTACTTGCTGCCCCTTTCTTTTTCTAATTGGGAAATTTTTCTTTTGAGGCTTAGCTAAGGATGGCCTAAAAGTCACGCAAGGGAAACTGTTTTATCAGGATGCCATATTCCTCCTGTCTTGCAGAAAATGCTGATGTTAGTTAGCTGAAGGAAAGAAGACAATTGGAGAGTGAGTTAGTTTTGTTGTGGTAATCCACAGGAATGCTTGTACCTTGAATGACCCTTGCAAAATATGTGTGAATATAGTCATCTCAATATTAAAGTCTCATAATCTGCATTTAAACATCACCGTCCTCTGCCTGTAAAAATATCTGTCTTTCATTGTCTTGTTGTTAAGCTCGTTTCTTTCTGTTTCTGTCTGATAATTGGGACTGAAATTCTGGATAATTTTCTAGATTGCTGTGGGGAAGGAATGCTTTATGATCTCTTCCCTGGTTGTAGTGTCAGAAATTACTCAGTTGTGAAACGGATCTCTCTCTGTAGAGATGAGAAACTATTCTGAGTATGAAAATGTTTTGGTTGCTTTGGGTTTTGGTTTGGTTTTTTTTTCCTGGAATCTTGCAGAGATACCTTTGTGACCTGCCGCAGGGCAAAAGTGAGTGTTGCAAAGGGACTTTGTAACAGTTTTTGTCCCGTCCCACCATGCACCATCCCTGTTGTCATCTCTGCCACCCCAAAACAAGATAAAGTACTGTTTACTAAAATTAAGTGATAATTACTAATTCAGATAGCACACTTTTTGCATTATGCTTTAAAGATGCCCTCAATTCCAACATGTGGTGGATTGGAAGGAGCACTGAGAATTATCTTAACTTCACAAGCAAGCTTATCTCTGAGACCTACTCTAGCTAGAGAGTGAGAGGAGAGTGGTCAGTCAATAAAAGCACTGGTAGTTATTTAAAAATTGGGAGGGGAAAGGGAAAATAAGAACTGCTATGGGTTAGTAAAGTACCTATTATCCTCCTGATCTTCCATCTACTCTTCATATCTCCATTTATATGAATATGGACCTAACTATTCTCTCTTAATATGAGAGTACCTTGTAAAACAGCCACCCAATTTTGACAGCAAAGGAGCACCTGAATGTTTTTCATGACACTGTCGTAGAAAGCATCAGTCTCTGTAAATACAATTTTTAATCTGAGATTCTGATTAGAAGAAAGTGAGCTTTCCCTCCAGTTCCTAAGAATGTTTTGGGCTCTTTCATGTATGCTGGCTTATCTCTTTCTAAAGAAGCTTACTTTTGCACTATGCCTTTTAATCATTATCAGCAGTGTGAAAAGAATCCACAATATTTGCTTTAAAACTTGCAAATAGCAGATAGTTTTGCTAATGCTCATCTGTGACATAAGAAACTCGTTATCTTGACACTGAGTATATTATCTGTTTCACCACCACCTCTTTGGAAGCTGTACATTTGAAACTTATACTTGTTAGTGTCTTGGCCTAGCATTGTAATAATAGGAGGAATTATATTCAGTGTTTCATTTTATTTAAATCCTCAGAGTAACTGTGGGGAAAAGATCCGTATTCGTCGCGTGCTGATGAACTCTCCACAGATCATCACCATTGGCTTAGTCTGGGACTCTGACCACTCTGACCTGGCTGAGGATGTGATTCACAGTCTGGGCACTTGCCTTAAACTGGGAGATGTGAGTGTTTTTGTATTTTGAAACTGCTTACAGACAGAGTCTTTCTCACAGTAGTCTATAGTAGCCGATTGAGAAAAGTAAGAAGTCACCACCTTTTTTTACCTTTTCATTGTTGATAGATAGGGGAGTAGAGAGCAGATTGAAGGATCTCACCTGTTTCTCAATGCCTCACAACCTTCTGAAAATACTAGTGTAATTGCGTATTTCTTGGATTTCTTAAATTGCTGAAAATTAAAAATTACTCCACAACACAAAACTTGTCTGAATTTAAAAAAAAAATAAAAAATTCAAGTGCAAGGAAACTTTTTATTGGTGTTTGTGCTATTTCTATGAAAATACATCTGTACACTTTCATGTGAATAACAGGAGTTAGTTTCTGTTTCTTTTGAAGACAAAATGTAGTTTGGGGTTGTCTGGGTTTGTTGGTAGTTTTGGTTGTTTGCTATGGTTGTTTTGTTTGTGCTCCTTTAAATCCTCTTTTCATTGAAGTATGTGGTCATAACACTTAAGAGCTATTTATAACTGAGCAATCTCTGAGATGGTGGCTGGTACTGTGTGATTGAATGATAGATTAAATTGAGAGTATTTGGTATCTGGAGGTTTGTGCTGGTGCTTTAGAGCTGAACTATTGGTATAACAAATTGTAGCTGTGTCGCACTGTAGTGTCAAGCTATTATATTAAAATAATTTAATATATATACCCACACGTACATTAAAAAAATGCATTGCCAGTGCACATTGTACCAATATTAGTGCAAGTTAACGGAAATGCGGTTATGAAACAGTGTGGTCCTTGCACAGTAAAGCAGTAATGCACTAGAAAATGAGTCCTGTGCAATTTTAAATAAAACATGGTCAACTAAACAGAAACCAGTTTTTCTCTTGTGTGCTGACTTCTTCTGACCTACTAATGTATTCAGTTCATCTTTTATGTGGTGTTGTCATAAATATGTCTTAGCTTAAGTGAGAATAAATGCCAGCTGTTCACTGTCAGAAATGCTTTGTTTCTACAAAACAAAGAGGAATGAATGTTTTAACAGTATTTGATATAATCAGGCAGCATGACACAGAGAATACAGATTTTCAGAATAGAACGATACCTCAGATACTGAGAAGGTATTCTATCATGGTTGTAAATGTCTTCCTTAAAGTACAGCCACAGTCTCCCAGACTGACTTGAATCTTGAGTGTCTCTTGAGTTGTTAAGAGTCTGTTCCTGGTCTGTGTCACTGGGCTTGCTTAAACGTTGATTATTTACTTAAGTATGTATTGCCTTGTTTTCTCGGTCTTTGAAGTAAAAATCTGACACCTCTCTGTAGTCCTTGGAGGTCTTCAATCATAACAGTATATAAATTTTTGGGCACTTTATTAATTTCTTCTTTCATTTTTATTAACTCCCTTCTTGAAGCTCTTCTTCAGAGTAACTGATGACAGAGCAAAACACTCTGAGCTGTATTTGGTGGGAATGATCTGTTACTATGGAAAACACTATTCTACATTCTTCTTCCAAACTAAAATCCGCAAGTGGATGTACTTTGATGATGCTCATGTCAAAGAGGTGAGAAATTAATATTTAGAATTAGCTATTCGTGTGTAGATCCATACTGTTTTCAAGGAAGTTTGACTATTTTTCCACTCTAGATCCTGAACTCAGTTGCACCTTTTTCTGAGCAAAGTAAAGCATTCTCAAAAAAGCATATCAATAGTCTCAGAAGCCCTATTCTTAGTTCTGTTCTATTGGCTGCCCATCTTGCTTTTATGCTGTTTTTTAAAAACCCTACAGTTTTCTTGCACACACAGCTAACATGCATCCCTTTTCCTTGCTGACAAGTGGTATAGCTATTTGGTGCCTGCTTTTTAGGTTCTTTGTTGAAGTGTCTTGGTGCCAGTCTTCCCTAGTGGTTGCTGCCAACAACAAATTTTCTGCTTCTGTTAGTGCTTTTTTTTTCCCCTTTTCACAAAGCATGAGGCCCTTAACATTAAAGATACCAGTGCTGGGATCTTGGCACACTGTTATTACATCCCATTAGTTTGTTTGGCATTATTTCACACCGCTGCTCTTTTTTTCCTTCAAGTCATGGATGCACAAAGATGAGAGAGGAAAATTTTTTCCTGTAGTCATGCCAAGCACAGTCTCAAAGGGAAAACTCTAATCCTTGCATTTGTTCAGTCACATTTCTCTGCAGCAAAACAAGGGGAGGAAGTGCACTGCTTTAGCAGAATACTCATGTGTGGTGTACATCTGTTGGAATTAGATGTTCAGTGTATTAGGTGAAACCTCTATTAGTGCATGTGGAACGTTTTTGAGATTAATTTAGCTACATGAATTATTCTCTGGCCTAACAAAATGCTTGCAGAGGTTCTGTAGCAACAGAAATACACCAAAGTGGTTAGTTTTGGCTTGAATTTGCTGTCATGCTGTTGATGTCTTTCTGTTTTTTTATTCTTTTATGTTGATGGCTGGATTAAGAAATTTTAACAGATTTTTTGGCTGATGCAAAGTTAGAACATTTTGGAGGATGAAAAGCTTTTTATGGGGGGAAATCTGAAAAGGAAGAATTATTTTTCTGTTCATATTTTATTAGGAATTGTAATGTGTTTAGCCATAAGATGGTGAATACCTTGATTTTAGTTATGTTGGTTCCAGACCTTTCTTGGAGAGTCCAGTTCAATACTGTATACAGAAGGAGTTAAAAAATGTCAGAGGAAAATCAAATTCTGAAAGAAGTATGAGGGGGTGTGAACAGAGCTTATTGTATTTTTTTGCATTCTTTTATTGTTGTTAATTCAGATTGGTCCAAAATGGAAAGATGTTGTGACAAAGTGCATTAAAGGTCACTATCAGCCTTTGCTGCTGCTGTATGCAGATCCAAGAGGAACTCCAGTGTCAACACAAGACTTGCCCCCTCAAGTGGATTTACAGCAGTATAGCAGGACTTGTTATGATAGTGAAGACTCGGGTAAGCAGCATGGACTATATGACTTATACCTTTATGCTGTAATGCTGCATGTGAATTCTTCTGTTTTGGATGTGTTTTTGTTAGCAGTGATTCTTGTTGCTTGTCAAAGCTGATGTAGAATTCTGAAGAGGACTTCTAGCGTTTCAACTTTGAAGCTCTCTCTTTCCGACTCTGCTTATTGTTTGGGTAGTAGTTTTTTTCAGAAAGGCTTGGAAAAAGAAGCTTAAAAAAAGAAAAAAATTAAGGACCTACTGTGGCATGGAGATAGAGAAGAACAATAACTGATAACTTCAATGACTGAGTTCATAAATCCTTATCAGGAAGGGAACGAGACCAGAGATGCACAAACGCATTAAAAAAAATAAAATAAAGGAAGCTGCAGAATTAAACTTAGTAGGGAGGTTAGAGAAAAGAAATATTAAGGAAATGTCACAATGAGTCTTTTGCTAGGATGGTGAAGGGATGTGGGGGGAAGGGGAAGAAATACCATTGTATTAAAAGTAAAAAAAGAGAGAGACAGAATTAGTGCAGCTTATCTTCAGCCTTTGGCTTGTCTTTTACTTAGATAAAGCAGTGCAAGAGATACGAACCGATTTGTGGGAAACTGAAGGGGAAGGAATCATCAAAGGCTTATATGCATAGATCATGTGTGCGTCTTCATTTTTCATGATTTGTTTTGCATTAAAAAAGATCTACAGCTATATATATGTAGCACTTAACATCTTGGAGGCCTTCAACACATTGCTACTTCCTGAATTCTTCATGTTACTGGTAGTCTGTTGAATTGGGTATGTCCAGATAAGGTGCTTCAGAGGTAGAACTTGGTCCACTCAAGATATCAGTAGTGATTTGAACAAGCTGTTCTGGTTAATTTCAGATATTTGGTCATACCTTTGAGGGTTGGGACCTCATTTAAAGAAGAATAGATAAATTCTGAGAGAGATAGGCAATTGCAATCCAGATAGATCCAGCTTTTATTTTCACCCAGTTTATGTTTAATGGCTTTGCAAAAGAAGATTGTTTCTATTTTTGGATGTTTGCAGAGAGTATCCTGAATTAGAGATGTGTTTATAAGTTACCAAGAAACCAAGGCCAAGACTAAAACCAAAAATACAACCTTTCTTACAGGATTTTAGCTTATTTATGCAACTCTAATTCCAAGAATCTTTTACAGTTTTCCTGGCCAACAGCTAACTTTATACTTCCTGGTCAATGAATCTGTAGAGAACATCTGCTGTCTCCTTATTTATGTGTTGACAATCTACGGGTGATGAAATAAACCTCCAACTCTTCTTAAAAATAAATGCAAATAAAAACAGTGGCAAGATGACCTTCTTTTCTCACTTGACAAGGTGCTTCACAATTTATAAATCTGTGTTCCTGTTCCAAACAAAAAGAAAAAAAAAAAAAAAGGAAGTCTGAAGGAGGGAGAGTGGTGCTCTTTGTCATTTGTGAGCACTTCTGCAAGCTTCAGATCATACACGCTGTAAATTTGCCTTGCAGCTCTGCTGGTTATCTCCAGGAAATACATAGATAACCCGTCTGCTCATTGTCTCTGCAGTATCGAATATTGTTGTGTTCTAAAATGACTTCAGGAAGCTGCATATAAATATATATTAAAAAAAAGGTGTTTCCTTTCAGATAAAATTCATAAGGCTATAGTGAGTGACCTGCTCTTTCATTTCAGAAACACTTGGTGAGTCCTCAAGGCTTACTCCTGTAGTCTGCAGTGTTCAACACTGATTTTGAGAGAATTTATCAGATGCTGTAGGTTGAAGTGCCACAAGAAAATCATACTTTATATATTTTCCTGTCAAATAGAATTATTTTTTAGCCTTGTTGATATCCAGGGTTTTCTACCCTAATATACCTTTTTCAGGTGGTCTTCTCGTCTCTTACTAAGTGTAACTACAGCTGCTTCTGGATCCCTCGTTGTTGCCAGATATCCACAGCCCATAATTCAGAAATGAGCAAAGATTGCATATTCTTAAGCTGTTAATCACAATATTGTACCTGAAGTTTTGTCAAGGGACTCTGATAAATGCCTCTAATCATATCTATATCTGGCACTACAAATTATAGAGGAAAGATTGTCAGAGATGCTGCTATGAAATGTTGTGAAGCTAAGTGCAAACAACTCCTCTTAATGTTTTTGATTTTCTGTTGGATAAGGACTTCAGTGTACAAATTGTTTTATAGTACTCAGTTCCATAGCACTGATTCCTGTTGCCTACATTTATCTTTCTCTCTGTGACTGTCATCGCCATTAACAGCTGTATTCTGTATTCCTTTAGACAGTAAGATCTTTTATCAGTAAAGAGGTGGGGGAAGTTTCTGACCTCAGAATTTGTTGGCCATCCTTAAATAGGACATCAGCTACAGGACTTACTCTTACAAAAAACATGAAGTGCCTGCAGGCTGAGTTTGCGATTAAACATAAGAATGACTTCTTCAATTTCTTTCTTTCTTCTTTAACTTCTTCAGTGAGAAACAAGTGTGAAATGAATATTTTATATATTCTGGAGTGTATACATCACGTATATAAAATGGACAACCGTCTTCAAACTGTGTTCAGATTTTTGCTTTTATGGACTAAAAGTGGTGGGAGGAAGTTGTCTTTTCATCTTCTTTTAATGAGTTTAGGAATAACTGTACTGAATTTGAATCATTTCAGTACCCCGCTTGTGCAGGGGATCAATGCTAGCTTCTTAAGGAGCAGGTTACTTTGCTTTAGATAACACTATTTCAGTATAAAGTTTTACTAGGTAAGCTTTTGTTTCATAATAGAGTAAATGTGCTTATTATTACGACTTGTGATGTTCTTGTTACTCTTCCTAGTATTTTGTACTTGTCTAATTCTTTAACTTTGACTTCCCCTGAAGCAGTGTATTTCATATTTTAATTACTCTTGACAGTGTTGAAAATTAATGAAAAATACTTTGTGGTACTAATGTGTACTCTCAGTCCAATGGACATAGTTTTATTTTGCATAATAAAAGGATTTGATAAATTTGGAGTTATCAGAGAGAGAGAAATAAAGGTTTGCAGAAGGAATGACAATCTCTTCCCCCTTCAAAAGGAGAGGACCTTTCCCATAAGATTTGTCATCCTTGAATCTGAGTTTGTATATTTGGTACTCTGTTTTTCTGTTAAATTCTAGGTAGTTTCCTCTCTTTTCTTTTTTTAGCCTCTTCTGACTTTAATAACAGCACAAAAAGATTGAAATTTGACATTGCTTCATTCCCTAGGGAGAGAACCTTCCATATCGAGTGATACCAGGACAGATTCCTCTACAGACAGCTATCCTTATAAACAGGCGCACCATGAGTCTGTGGTCAGTCACTTCTCCTCTGACTCCCAGGGGACAGTCATCTACAATGTGGAGAATGATGCAGCTTCACAAAGCAGCAGGGACACAGGTAACAGATCCTGTTATATTTTTGTGATTGTTGACATTAAATATGATTGCAGTGGATTCCAGAGGAACGTGTCTCTACATACAGCCTATAACAGAACAGTGAACAATTCAGTATCCTAAATGTTTTTGGTTTGTAATGAACCATCAGCATTCACAAAAAAATAAGCATGATTGTAAATGTCTTGTTGGTTTTTGTAGACTTTTATCTAGCCAGACAAACATTTACAGACATACTTTCTGCTATCCACGGTCCTACCTACTCTCTGTGTTACTTCTTTAAACTGAAGTTTGTGCAGTGCCATTGTACATTTTGGCAAGTGCTGTGTGTGCTACTTACCTGTGGGCAGTTACTTCATTTCAGGAGTGGCAGCTATCTGGGAAAGGCGCTTTCATCACCAGAATCTCATACTTGGGGACTAAGGACTTTCTATGTAAGTGGGTGTTGGTAGTAGTATTTACTACACCAGGAAGGAGCATAGGATGATTTCCTGCCTCTGCCGTGGAAGCAAATTAAGTGAGAATCTGCAGTGAGAAGACTATATGTATATACATTGCTTCAGGCAGCTGAACACTTTTTAGTTGAAAACAGGTTAACTGGAAGTCTGAAGGCTTAGATCTCCCCTATTACTCAGGCCCAGTGACCGTAGCTAGCCTGTTTCTCAATACAGTAACTCTAACATGACTTGTGAAAAAGTGATGCATGAGTTTGAGTCAGACTTCTTAAGCATCAGAAATATGATCTGCTAAGTCTGTTTGAAAAGTCACTTTACTGTGCCTTAAGTAGACTTTCTAAGCCTATTTAAGAGTTGAATCAGCAACTGTTTGTTGTACCAGAGTGTCAACAGATATCATACCTCTTTGTGCTTTTAGTTGCAAAATAGTTCTCTTGCATTGTGGCTAAATATGTGTATTTGGTTCATTTGAAAGAATCTATGATACAAATATATTTCACATCTAAAATCTGGAAAAATATTTCAAGTTAATTTTCTTCAGTACTTTTTGATTCTTCATCAGAGGTCCAAGTAACTGTAATGCGTGATTTTTAAATAGCCAGACAGTACTTACAATGTTTTAGCAAATACTTAATGCTGTAGGTTCCAGTCATAGTCCTAGGTAGAGTGTGAGAAAGAAGTAAAAGTTGGAGCAGAATTTGAGTGATGAGGAGGCAAAATTGGAAGTGCTAGTGGAATATTGTTTATATAGTATGCAAAACTGGCATGGAGTTTATTGGATTAGTTTCTTCCCTGCAAAACTTGCCATGCAGAAGTTAGCAGAAAAGTAGAGTAGGGGGATGGTTGCAAACATTTAAGCATGAAGCTCAGCATGTAACCTTTTGTTATGTCATTTTTAGTGACTTTCTCCTTTTTTTTTTTTTTTCCCTTTCTTCTCCTACTGATTCTATCCTATGTTATTCCCTTCAGCTTAGCCTGTCTCTCCACCTAAATTCAGTTGTCCTCATCCTCCCTGATGCAGCTTTAGCCTATAGTCAGTCTGTCCTCTTAGCTAGCCACCTGTCTGGGCGTTTAACCTTTTTTTTACCTACCCAGAACCTTTCCAAAAAAGTCAATCTGCCAACTGATACAACTGCTCAGTCATCAAATGCTGATCCGTGGGGCTATAAAGAAGCCATCCACATTGACCTGTCAACTGAGTCATTCTGGGCAAGAGCAGGATTCTTCATTTAATGGCCATTTACCCACTACTCCAGCCCAGAAAATTATGGACTCTATCCCACATCATCCTCCAGGGAAGGACCACCATTGGGTTGTATGACCTCAGGCACCCGGGTGCTTCAGAATGGGGGCATGAAGAGTGGCTGCATAAGCCCTCTCGCTCCTGCCAACCTGTGCTGCTGAGAAAACTGTGCGTATTCTGGCTGCCCTATTCATGCAAAAGAGATTACAGTGGGAGGGAGTAGGGGGTGTTCTGTCTTAACCTGTTTGATTTCATTCTCTTCTCTAACATATTCTTAGACATGCACATAACCCCTGCAAAACTCCAAACTTTTCCTTTGAATATTGCTGTTTGCTGATGAAGCCATCCCATCTCTGCAGGATGAGGCGTTTAGGTGAAACATTCAGCAAGGGACACCTTTTAAGCATATGATTGGGTACCCAGACAGAAATCCTAGCTTGTTGTTTTAGTGAATTAAAAAAATGTGTGTAAAGTGTTAGCATGTATTCTTGGTATTGTAAGAATATATTCCTATAATCATGCATTATGTTGGATTTAGTCTTTGTTCCAGAGGGTCCAAGTACAGACAGCAAAGCCTGGTCATGCAGACTTTGGATTGTTGGCATCTCTTCTATGGCTATAAAATGTCCAGTGACAATAGGAGAAAATTGGCAATTTATGAAAGGATGAGAAAATATTTATGCAAGCTGGCAGCCTTTAAATAGTTTCTGTTATAGTACTTGAGGGATAATACCCAAGCATTCCCTATCAGATTGAAAGGACTTTTGGGGAAAAAATGTTTAACCAGAGAATTGTGCACTCTGAAGTGAAACATAAGCCTCTTCTGTCTTGAGGGGAGCTGCTACAAGTTCTAAGATAATACTGTTTTTTCAGTCCCTAAAAGATGTGTTAGAGTCTGTGCTGTAAAGGAAGAAAAAAATTCTCCCAAAGCTCTGACTTAATGGCTCAGTCACCTAACTGCTGCACATCTTCTATCTTCACTGCCAACATTTCTCTTCGACTTACTTAATTTATTTTATGTGATTTTCTTGTTTCTAAAGTATTTGGCTACAGAATCACTTTCCACTTTGCCACTGAATAGAAATGTGAGTCTTGTGTAGCTTGCTTTTTGTTGTTTGGATTCTTTCCTGTTCATTTATTGTAGTAAATCTGTAGCAATTGTAGTTGAAGTGAATTATTTTTCTTCAGTGGTTGAAAGTACATTTTCATGTGTAAAATCTATTTTAAATGTTGTTAATTTTTAGAGAAGAGGGAAGGCTCAGGACAGCCAGCTCTGTATCGGGGCTGTTAATCCACTATTGGGTAGTAGGGATTTTCCTTTCCTATCATCCTGTGCAAGGTAGAAGTTGGTAATATAAAGGCTAGAAAAAAGTCTTTGTAGCTTATTCATAAATTCCCTTCTTATCCTGCATCTCTGCTTGGGACTTCTCACGTGAGTAAAGCCATGCGTGTGTTTGTGCTTGCAGGTTTAGGTCTGTGAATGTGTGAGAACTATAAAGTTAAAAAAAGACAATAGAGAATACTTGTGATGTCAAATGCTGTTAATTTACATTTGATGTGAGGAAATGGGGAATAAATTGTGTGCAAGAGAAAATACTAGCACTCAGACACATGACCTGTAGTAAGGGAATGTTGTCGTGTGTCAGCTGATCCATGTTGATGGTTTGTGTGTATGCTCTTAGCTTGTGGCAGATGCGAATTAGCTGGCTTACCCTTGAGAGTCAACTGAGGCTTCTTCACTGTAGACTAAGCTAACTCAGATTACCTAGTATTTGCTACAGGCAAAGAGAGTGTAGATAAATAGTGCAGAGCAGCTGATGATGTGGAGTAATTTATTATTAAATGGTGGCTTGTTCATGTGTTTGAGTCTTTATTCAGGGAGTAATGTCAAGCAAGCTGTCCTCAGGAATTTTGTGTTCATGGCTGTTAAAACTGAAAAAGTACTCAGACAGCAAGAAAGTGGTGTCTTTACACTATTAGAAGACAAGTCAGAGTCAACTTTTTCCTCACCCTGTGGATGAGCTCTCATTAACCAGAGGGGAGCTGGTTAATTATCCTTGGAGGAGCTGTGTTTGTCATCTGTGACCTTAAAAACTGAACACGCTCCCCAGACAAAACCAAAAACTTTTGGATACAAAAATTTACCCAAACCTGCCAGTTAGCATTGGAATGTCTGCAGCTCCTAAGGAGCAGAAAAGCCCTGCCGCACTTAGTGCACTGAACACTCAGTCTGAAGGCTCTTGTCATCTCTACTGTGTTCTTCTGTCCTTTCAGGGCACCTGACTGATAGTGAGTGCAATCAGAGGCACGTTTCCAAAAAGGGCTCGCTGGCAGACCGCAAGAGGAGTTCTAGCCGTTCCCGGCGAAAAGGAGATGAGGCTCCGTCATCAGGATACCATAGTGAAGGCAAGAGATGCTATTGTATTTTTAGATATCAGTATCTCTTTCTGCATGTTTTTAAGATGAATGCATTTACCTCCTTGTTTCTTACATCTTTGTATTTTGTCCTGTCTCTGCTCTGTTTGTTTGTTTGGGGGTGTTGGTTGGCTGTTTTTTTTGTTGGTTTTTTTTTAATTGTATTGGAGGGTGTGGGGGTGTTTTGGTTTTTACTTTCCAAAGTCTGCATGAAGATGCTGCTAGTTTAATCTGAAGCTATTTTTGTGGCTTTTGCTGTCTCTCCAAACTGCAGGAGAAACCTTGAAGGAGAAACAAGCCCCCCGAACTGCCTCCAAACCATCCAGCAGCACCAGCAGGCTGAGGGAATTTAAAGAGACAGTGAGCAATATGATCCACAGCAGACCACAGCAGATTTCTCACACCATCCAGAATTCCCCTCGTGGAGGGAGTAGTGTGGATCAGACAGAAACACGACCCTCAAAAAGCCTATCTGCACACTGCCGAGACTGGGAAGTGGAGAGTACCAGTAGTGAGTCTAAATCTAGTTCATCGAGCAGGTACCGGCCAACCTGGAGACCCAGAAGAGAGTCTCTGAATATAGACAGCATCTTCAGTAAAGACAAGAGGAAACATTGTGGCTACACTCAGCTTAGCCCCTTCTCTGAAGAAGCAGGTAAGAATTTGAGAAAAAAAGATTTATTTCAGAATGTGTGGAATTTGTAATACTCCACTATCCCATTTGGTTTAAGTAAGGTAGGGAAGTGAAAATTTGAATGTGGTATTTAGGTCAGTGGTGAGTCATGTCCTTGAAGGCTAGTTTTTGTATGGGTATTTGTGCTGCATGTATGATTTGCTAAATTTCACATGTAAGGAAATAATAAGAAAAACATTACTGCCTTTGCTGCTTAAACGGCTGCAAGCCTAGACTGTTAAGTATCTGGAAGTTCATCCCTTGGAATGGACTTTTGTATTGGTCTGTTTTTTTCTCTAGTTCATGGTCTTTTTGCATGATGACTCAGACTGTGGTACTTCGAGTACCTCGCATGTCATTTCTGAATTCTCATTGTGAGGATAAGAGTTTGGCAGCCAGTGATGATTTTTATGGGCCATTTTACACTTGTACATAGAGACTTTGTCCTCAGCTTTGCTGGTTTTAAAGGTAATAAAATCTGCAGTAAAATAATTTTGGGTATCTTTTGTTGCCTTAGCCCCTACTTTCCTTTCTTCAGTCTGCACATGAATATAATGGTTATTTTGCTCCCTATCATTAGAAGGGTACTCCTGAAACTGTAGAGGCTGTGAAGAGTAGATGTGTTCCTGTTCCTGGTTTTGATGCTGCTGTGCTCCCCTCTCAGAGAGCTTGAAGGACAGTGTGTGGATGAGAAGAGGTTTGTGTGACTGGCAGCAGAGTTGTGGTTAGTGAGGATGCTGCTGCAGATATTTGTGAGCCTGGAGAGAGGGAGAGACAGATGATACCAACTAGAAGGAGCTAAAGGTTGAAAAGAATTGGGAAGTATAAATATGTATAGGGAAGGTGAAGGGAGAAGAGCACAGTTCCAGGGAAGGAAGCAAAGAGAGCAAACAAGACAAATGGGAAGATAGTGAAAGCAGTAAGGAAGAATTAAAAGAAAATCCTGTCCATGTCAAAATAATGTAAAAAGTGCAGCATCTGACATAGCTATGACAGAGTATGATAACAAATATAAACTGGAAATGCAGTTGGGTATGCTGTAAAATGATCTTGCAATAATACAAATAGTTATGGGGAGGAAAATATTTTCTTTCCAGACTTCATTGTTACCTGGGAGAGGAATATGGTAAGTATGGGAGAGATTAAAAAAATAATTGGTTGAATAGATTATTGCTTAACATTACTAGGAATGCTGTAAAAGTATTGGGTGGTTTTGGTTGTGGGGTGTTTTTTTGTTTGTTTGTTTGTTTGTTTTTGCATAATATTGCTAGTTTTACACTTAAGACAGAGCTTCTGATTTTAAGCATGGTTGAGAAGCTAACATGTATATATAGATGAATTGCTGATATTGAAGTTTGGATCTTCTACCAACCTGTATTCGTCTTGACAGGTAAAGAGCTTACTGAGAATGAGGTGAAGGAACACACTGTTCAAGAAATAAGATCAAGCCAGTCAAATGTCAGATACAAGCGTGGTATGCTAGGCCGGGGCACCCAGCACCATATGGTGGATCAGCAGCCTCATCTAATACAGAGGATGGAGTCTGGCTATGAAAGCAGTGAGCGCAACAGCAACAGCCCTGTTAGTCTGGACTTGCCTTTGTCTGAAAGCTCAAGTACCCACAGGTAGATTTCAAGAAACTTCATTTTTTGAGTGATTGAAATCTTGATTTGGTTTCTGTAGTTAAGTAATGGTATGGAACGTTTCTTAAAAAATGCAAAACAGCACTCCTAGCTTGTAATACAGGTTTACTGGGGCAGGGGAAAAATAGAAGTGAAACAGGAATCTGAGTGAGTTTGATTCCTTTTCTTGTCAGTATATTAGCTGTATTTGATAACGTATTGCTAGTGAGAAAGAAATGGGGTTCGTTAAATGAGAAATGTTGACTAAAATTATGCTTCTAAGTAGCTGTTAGTCTGTGATTCAAAAATTCAGCTAAAATATCAAACTTCCTGCTTGTCATTTGAAATTTTTTTCAAAGGACAAGCATGGACCTTTTTGTTTCAGTTAAGTTATTGTTTGAGAGAAGCCTTGTAGAAAATGAGAAATCAATATTCTTGTATAGAAATCTTCAACATTTTCAGTTTGAGAGTTTCATTGAAGTCTTACACCTGCAATATTTATATGCAAATAGGCAGCATAGTGTGCTTCTCTCCTTGGCTCAGGAAGCTTCAGGCATTCACAAACTGAGACTGTATGGCCGGAATAGTAGATTTTCAGCTGTAGAAATTTGTTGAGAACAGCCATCAGACCACAGTTTTAATATACATTGCATACTGTCATTGAGGAGAACAGAATTATTGTTCTCCCCCATGTTAACTTTCTCTTTCCATGTTTATCTGAAGGTTTTCTGATGGTAGGCTTTCTTAAATTAAAATGCAAGTAAATATTTATGTGATGCTAAAAAAGAGAAGATAGATATAATTTTTCCTGCAGAGATTGGTAAAATGATAAACTAATTTTTCTCTTCTTGGAGGGATGTTCATATGAAGCGAGGAGGTGGACTGGTTCCTGCCTGGCGTAACATCCCAAAGTCTCATAGTAGCAGCATCTTGGAAGTGGAGTCTACTTCATCAATTGGTAGCTGGGCACGCAGCCCACACACCGTTGGTAAGATACACTTCCCTGGTAGCAGTGGTTTTGCAAGGTAAATTGTATTGGATGTGAAATTATGAGGAAAGGGAGAAGAAACATTGAGGATCACAGCATGGTTTTACAAGATACAACTTAGAAGATTTACCAAAGGGGGTTGCAAAAAAACATGTTTGCAATACTCCTTTGATCATGTTGCTCTAGCATCTTTTTGAGTATTGACGTAACTGATAAAGTAAAACTATTTTTCTTATTCTTCCCCATACCTCAGTATTCTACCATCAGTGGAAAATACCTTCCCAAGAATAACTCGTAAAAACTTAGGAGGATGCATAAGTCCTGAAAAAAAGCTCATAATGAGAATGGATATTTACAATATCAGGCTAAGGCTGAGCTTTTCTTGCAGATGTGCATTCCAATTATGTATTGTTCTGAGCAAGTACCTTATTCCAGAGAATGCCTGGGGAAGGGAAAGTGGGGCGGAGAGTAGACACTTTCTGAATACAGGTCATAATTGAAGCGAGACTGATGACTGATTTCTGCTTGTTGACTACAATATTGATGTGCTTTACTTTCTTCCCATTTTCATCTGCTTGTGCAGTTAGATGAAAAGCTTTTCAGTTGGAATCCATTTTACTAAGTAAAGCTACTGATCTGGCTAATTTGACATAGCATTATTTACAAATTATAAGCACAGTAAGAAAGTTCAAGATTTCAGCATCAGTTTAGGGTTATCTCTTAAAGTGATTCTCTCTGTTCTGTTAGCTGTTTCTTGGGTCAGTGAATCCAGGGATGGGCTGTGCTGCAGGGGACCTTGAAGCAATACCGTAATGTTTCTGCCAGTCACTGACACAGAGAAGGCAATTGGAAACCAAATGGCTTAGGCAGGGTTCTAAAAGTAAAATTTAAGAAAGTAAAATTTGTTGTCTGAAATTCTGCGGTCGTTGCTTGGTCAGTCTGTTATTTTCTAGTGTTAATTGTATTCTCCATTAATACTGCTTTGCCTTTTAAAGTATATTAAAGAGTATCTTCTAGAGATGTTACTATCAAAAAAGTTTTTCTCTCTTTTTATTTTTTTGGGGAAAGGTGAGGAGATGTTTGGCCCTTTAAAGAGCGAACTGGACGAATTGCAAGAGGAAGTGGCAAGGAGAGCACGTGAACAAGAACTACTCAGAAAAAGAGAAAAGGAAATTGAGGCAGCAATGGGCTTTAATCCCCACCCCAGCAGGTTCATGGATCTAGATGAACTGCAGAATCAGGGTAACTTTTTGAATGCAATATATTTTGCAAGACTGTAGTGCTGGAATTTTTTTTTAAACCTTTGAACTTAATTTCCTATTTTAAGTCTCTCTCTCTCTTTTTCTCTCCCCCTCCATTACAATTTTGGACCTTCAGTTAGTGAAAGACCATCAATTTCAAACCTGTAGGGCACAAAAAAACTGTTTAGTATTTTGACAAAATAGTTTCTTAAATGAGACTGATGCAGAGGTGTTTTAAAATAGCTGCACCTTTCCATTGTTATGGCGATATGCACCATTACTAGAATTGATATCTAGATTTAGCTGTAAGGCTTCAATCAACATCTTGGAATGAGCAGGGCTGTTGGTACATTTCGGACATCTTGGGTTCACATGCAGCTAGCTTGTTCTCTTAGGCCATTGTTTTTTTTTTCTGGTAAAACCACGGCCGTAAGCAATTCTGCTTGTTCCTGCTCTTGTACTTCCCACTCTTTCTCCCTGGCCACCTGTGCAGCCACAGCACAGGCACGAGAACAAGTACTGTGGCAGGCTTAAACTGGATCTAATTGAAAATCTGAGCTGGGTTTAGATTACATACATTTTCTAAGGAAAAAGAAATGGGAGGGGTGGGGGGGAAGCCAGATACTAAGTTTGATTGTCTTCCATGACTCCTCATGTTTCTGGCAGGGGATTGCAGCAGAAGTTTTAACTGGAAGTATAGAGCTGCAGCAGAGGAAACTTGGTGACAGGATTCGCATGTAGCACCTTTGATTTAGCCTTAAATCTCCATCAGCCAGTAAGGGGAGTCAGAGAGAAGGGGGGTGAAGTACATTGACCCAGTCAAGAGTGAAGCCTTGTAGAGCATTCAACTGGGAAGTGGGCATTGCTGGTGGGTCAGCAGAGCCAAGCAAGGTGTGAATGAACACCTGGGCTCTACTCCCACAAATGCATGCATGACTGGGGCAAACCCACTGTGGCCTCCTTTGTTACCAAGCCTCCTGGCATCCCATACTGCTTGCTCAAACCTGTTGTAGGTAAGAGTTGAGATGCTGGTTTGCTGCTACAGGAGAGAGAGGAAGGAGAGAGGCACCTCACAGCAATGCCAGCTAGGCACAGTACAGCCAGTGCTCTGTAGCCTACAGCTGTGCCAGCTGCTCAGGAGCCAGGGTGTTACTGTGCCAATGACCACTGAAAAATACGATCTCTATGAGGATGTCTAACTGTGGGAATGTTCTTAAGATTTTTGCTGACCATCAGTGAGCCACTTAGTTATCCTTTACAGTCCTGCTGTGACCTGCCAGTAACCAGGTGGAAAATTCTGATGTACCAAAGTAGATGGGTATCTTTTTTTACGACTACTTTTGTAGCATGAATACTAATGATGTAAAAATTGGAAAGTTAACCTCTGTTAGTGAGTATGAAGATGTTGTCTTCTCTGCTTCTCCTGCCTGAAAGAAAATAGCGTGTTCTCCAAGATACTACCCATCTGTGATCTCTTGTTTTATTAGTTGGTAGAAGCAAAAATTGCTTAGATTTTCCATGTTAAGAAAGTAAACTAGACTAATGTTTAATAAAAAAAGACTTCAGTAGACTGAGGAGTACACAGGCATCGACTTGAGATCTGGGGAAGTTTTTGTTTATTCCTTTTAAGTCTTTCCCCACCCCAGCCAGAGGTGTAATAATACTTAACGTTAGCAGACTGCTTGACTGCCTGGAAGGCTTGCTTGTGCGCGTTACTCCAGAACACTTGTGACTCATTTTCCCCCCAAGTAAACTGCTAAATTCATGCTAAGAAAGCTAACTTTAATATACTGGCTTTGATTACAAGCCTCAGTAGCCTTGATTTTGAAACTGAATGTGCTGCTTGATTAACTCACTGCTCTAACAACTCTCACTTCTCTCTACAGTACTTGCCTTTCATGAGAGTTCTTGGTGGTTTATGGTATAAAAAAGTTTGCATTTGCACCTGTGCCTTAGGGTTTTGGGGAGCAGGCCAGGAGATAGCATATGTTAGGCAAGTTGAGAAAACAATTTATTGTTGGCTGATAACGATACTCATGTTCTCTACCACAATGACAGAGACGTCATTAAAAAAACAACACACACATAAAACAAACAAAAAAACCCACCCCAAAGCATAAAAATAAATAACACACACATCCCCAAAAAAAACCCCCAAACACAAACATCCCCCCCACCCCTAAGCTAAAAAAATTTCTGTTTTCTTTTGCCTCATTTGAATGTATACATTTTAGTGCATAACTTGCATAATGCCTAATAGGTTACACCAGATTGTTTGGGTGTTTCCTCCTCTCAGAATTGGATGTTCTGATGCCAGGACACAGTGTTTCTTTTGTGTCCAAGGATAATTTATCCTTCTCTCCAACACTATTTTCTAAATTGTTGTATAAAGAATTCTTGACAACTGTCTCTTTCTTCTCAGCTTGTTACATCTGTGTTTTTCCTTCCAAAGCTGCAAGACCATTGGGTTTTCATATTCCATGTGTCTGTCTCAGCAGTTGAGTGTATTGTGCATAGAACTTCATGTTTGTAGAATTATTTTCTGCAGACATCTATAAACTTGCACTCAAGTCTGAGTTGTTTCCCAGATGTCTCAGTTGTTTCAGTTTGTTTCCATTTTGTATGGAAATAATTTGATATCTAAAGAAGACACAGATGATTTTTAGCAGGAGACTTAACATATAAGGAAAGCCCTGACCTGCTAGATTTCGTTTACTGATATATTTTGGTTTAGATTTAATTCTAAATTTAGAATTGATTCTAAATTAATTCCTACTTGACAGAAGTCATCAGAATTGACTCTAATGTGTCTATACCATCTTCTGTACTGATTTAGACTGTTGAAAATAGTAAATCATTGCAACTGAAGTAAACAAAATTTGAGGGGGGAAAAGTGGTTCACATTGTATTACTGTGTAGCCGTCAAGCATATCAGGGTGCTCCAGTTGTACTTCCTAGGTGTGATCTGGGATATGTGCAGCCTCTGCAAGACTCCCATGCGTGGAAGAATTTGGCAGTCACAAATGGGACGAGGGTAAGTGAGGGGTCTGCAATGAATGAAACCAAAATGAAGGGTGCTGCCCATTGCAGGGAGGAATGATGGCTTTGAGAAGTCGATGCAGGAGGCAGACTCAATCTTTGAAGAGTCGCTGAATCAGGAGCAGAAGGGGGATTGTGCTGCAGCTTTGGCTCTCTGTAACGAAGCTATATGTAAGTAACTCTAACCACCTGAGCTATTGCGCTTTTGACAGTTTACTAATATATAAACAAGTCTGAAACTTTGAATCATGTTAAATGGTCAGGTAGTAATACGGGGATCCAGGTGGTCTTTAGGAATGTGCAGGGAGACACAATCTTTCATTTTTGAAAGCATTCCCTTTTGGGGATTTTAGTCCTATCCTCTTCATCTCTGTTTTTCTCGTGTTTGCATCTGGTGGTGGTATTCTCTCTAGCGCTACGGCAGTAGCAGCACTGGGGTGCTGATGTGCCTCTTGTGGTACTGAATGGTGCGTTTCAGCAAGCACCTAGTAGGGAACTCCCCCTGCCACTTGGTCCTCAGTTAACAATTTTTCCCATCCTCAGGCCAAATGACAAGGGCCATGAAACTTCTCTGTTTCTCATGGAGGGTGTAGCATAGGAAGAAAATGGTAGCCCACTTGAGTCCTGTGGATTAACAGAAATGAGCTATGCAGTATATGACTTTCATGAAGAAAAAAGCATTAGAACATTGAGTTGCTTAAATGCATTGTGACCTTTGAGAATGTGTGCTATATGATCTCATTTTATTTTCAGTCTTTTTCCATTATGACTGGCTGGCTGTCTCACCCCATGCTCCCCTCTGTCTGTATAGAATGGCTGCAGACGGAGTGGGTAGCTACTGTGCATCTGCATTTAGAAATTGGCTTTTATGGACTGCAGAGTAAGGGGCACAGCATACAGCTGTTGTGATAGCTTTATTAGCTTCCATTCCAGCAAGGTATGTGCTGAATTTCAAATCCCAGCTGGGTATTCCTGCT